TCTAAGCTATAGGATGATGATTCTATTTTTTTCTCACCGATACTACCCTTGATTCTATTTCCCTTTCTTTATGAGGAAGTGACTCAGAACATTCATAGTTTGGGACTGTGGGCTTGTGGACTTTTGATGCAAAAGTGAAAACACGTCTGTGACAGCTCAAATATTCTTTGAAGATTCAATGTGAAAATCTAAGCACCAAAGCATCTCTTGCTTTCATTCTTACAACAGCATGGGGAGGACCCAGGGTTATTTTTTTTTAAGGTGAATCACAAGGTCTACCTACTCAAGAATGACCACCTACCTACTCACCTTGTAGTAGCGGGCTGGTTCCTGATTGGAAAAAGCAGATATGACTATTTTGGAGTTCATTTTAAAGTCAAAGAGGACCTACACAATGCCAAATGTGTGCTACTATAATAAATATGCTATTTATTTCTGGAAGCACTAAAATTTAAGCTAATTACTGACATGTACTGTAGCTTGATTAGCTACTTTAGCTGAGCTTTTACAGTAAAGTTTTAATTCTATAATTACATAGAAAGTAGTTTTCCTACTAACGCCAAGATTTTAAGTCCTGTGTCAGGTATTAAATTTCAGCCAGCAGTGTGGGAGGTAACACTAGCTCTAATCTTAATGGCTGTTAAAAGTTAATGTTTAATAGCTTTGAAAATAGAAATCAAACTTGAAAAGTCTATGCAGATATCTGGAATGTGGATGGATTTATCAAGCCTCAGGTGAAGGAAATATTGACAATTATTCAGTGAATTTATAATGACGGAAAGGGAAATCATTCATTTGAGTCAGGCATCGTCTTTGATGAGTGATCATCACCTTCATGAATGATCATGAAAAACTATCTATGTTGATCAAGTAGAGCAAAATATTTCAGAAGTTTGCACCTCATTATTGTGAACTCTGTTGACAGAGTTATAATTCTTTTAACCCCAAAATAATATTCAGTTCAGTAGATGACAAAGGCCTTCTTTAATATTGATGTGATTTATGACTTGATTCCATACTGTACGGTAGTTCCCATGTTGATTAGAAGGAAGATAACTGAATTCCATTTAAAAAAATTAGTGTACTTGATTGTCATAATTTTTCCTTTGGGATCCTTGATTCTATAACCTATATATTGGGCTACTTTTAAAATGTCACATTATCTTCATGAAAAGTAGTGGCTGCTGTTTCACAGAAGTCATTTTTCATAATTAAATCTCGTAGTTATTCCAATGTTTCTCCCCAAGTGACAAAAAAAATGAGAAGATATTTTTATTTCAGGATTCTTATTAAAAGCTCATTATCTTGGAGAAATAAGGCTGTGTTTATGCCATTGGGTTAGTAGATATAGTTACCGTGAAATTAGATTATTTAATCCAAAAGATTGGTTAACAGGAACTCATGCACTGAAATATAGCAGTTCTCTTAAGAATTGCTACAAGATCTAAATAAACATTATTTTCTTTGAAAAGGCTAATACTTCTGAAAATACTCAGAAAATAATTGATAAAATACACATCAAGAGCTAAGTGTAAATTGCAAAAAATAGGTTCAAATTTCCCATGTTACCGAATGGATTAGACTGTTGTGTTAAGTATCATGCCACTTGTTTTATAGTAAAAAATTCTAGGCCAGGCGTGGTGGCTCATGCCTGTAATCCCAGCACTTTGGGAGGCCAAGGCGGGTGGATCACGAGGTCAAGAGATTGAGACCATCCTGGCCAACATGGTGAAACCCCGTCTCTACTAAAAAAATACAAAAATTAGCTGGGCATGGTGGCGTGCGCCTGTAGTCCCAGCTACTGGGGAGGCTGAGGCAGGAGAATTGCTTGAACCCAGGAGGCGGAGGTTGCAGTGAGCTGAGATAGCACCACTGCACTCCAGCCTGGTGCCTGGTGACAGAGCAAGATTTGTCTCAAAAAAAAAAAAAAAAAATTCTAAAAGAATATTTAAAATACTCCAAAAGAAAAAATGTCTCTGCACATAAAGATGCTTATTGAAAGATACCTGGTTGCTGCTTTTTCACTGTCATATAATTACATATGCCAAGTGAGTGCAAGTTAAGATCAATAAGGAAATATTTAAAATAGAATATTGCATGACCAATAAAATAAACTCATCCTGAGGTGATATTAAAACACAAAATAGACCAAAAAGCAAAAACTTAAAAATGACATTAAAATTATATTTATACTAAAATAATTTTTAAAAGTTGTGTATTCATATGGACACTAAGAGAACACAACCAAATGAGAGTTTTGTAAAGACAGGTAAGTTATTGCCTTTCTTGATGAATGATTTAAGTACTATTTCTGAAGTTCTTATTATATCCTATAATATAAAGAAAATATGTAGAAATAGTAGAAATTTTTAAATCATTCTCTCTCCTCTTTATTGTTTGTTGCCTTGGAGGCATGTTAGAGTAATGAACAAAGAGATAAGAAGGAAGATCTTGTTGAAATTATAGTTACAAATACATGTATATAGAAATATCTCTATAGAGATAAATAGAGAAAGATAAATGATAGCTAGCTCGATGATAGCTAGCTAAAGAGCTAGATAGATGATAGATAGATATATAGATAGATGATGGATAGATAGATAGAGCTGGGAAATACAACGCAAATCTTCCCAAACACTTCTTAACTGTTTAAGTTGTATAATTTTCTTGTCTAGTGAATGTCATCAGGAAAATACTGTTGTATTAAAATAATTTAGAAAAAGTGTTTTTTAAAAAAACAATTATAATTTTAAAAACATTTTAATTTCTATGGGTATATATTAGGTGTATATATTATGAGATATATAAAATAGTTTGACACATGCATACACTGTGTAATAATTACATAAGAGTAAATAAAGTATCCATCACCTCAAGCATTTATCCTTTCTTTGTGTTAAAAGCAATCTAATTACTGTATACTCTTTTAGTGATTTTAAAATGTACCATAAATTATTGTTGACTGTAGTCACCCTGTTGTGCTACCAAATACTAGATATTTTTCATTCTATCTAACTATATTTTTTGTACCCATTAAGTATCTCCATCTTCCCCACATCCTGCTACTAACCTTCCAAGCCTCTGGTAGCCTTCCTTCTCCACTCCATCTCCATGAGTTCAATTCCCTTAATTTTTTAGCTCCGATAAATAAGGATATTATGCAAAGTTTGTCTCCAGTTCCATCCATGTTGTTTGTTACAAGTGAGAGAATCTCATCTTATTATGGATAGTAGTATGACTTTGTGTGTATGTACCATATTTTCTTTACCCATTCATCTGTAGATAGACACAAGCTTGCTTCTGAATCTTGCTTATTGTGAATAGTGTTGCAATAAACATGGAAAGCAGATATCTCTCTCTTCAATATACTGATTTCCTTTCTTTTTGGTATATATCTAGCAGTGGGATTGCTGGATTATATGGTAGCTCTATTTTTAGTTTACTGTGGAATTTCCAAACTGTTCTCTGCAGTGATTGTATTAAATTACCCACAGTATAGAAGGCCTTCCTTTTCTACACATCCTCTTCAGCATTTGTTATTGCTTGTCATTTGGATAAAAGCCATTTTAACTGGGGAGAGACATTGTATTGCAGTTTTGATTTACATTTCTCCAATGATTAGTGATGTTGAGTAGCTTTTCATATACCTGTTTGCCATTTGTATGTCTTTTTTCAGAAATGTCTATTCATATCTTTCAACATTTTTTCAATTAGATTATTAGTATTTTTCTTACAGAGTAGTTTGAGCTCCTTATCTAAACTGGTTATAAATCCCTTGTTAGAAGGGTGGGTTGCAGGTATTTTTCCCATTCTGTGGGTTGTTTCTTAAGTTTAGTTATTGTTTCTTTTGCTCTGCAAAGCTTTTAAACTTGACGTGATCCCATTTGTCGATTTTTGCTTTAGTTGCCTGTGTTTGTGAGATATTACTCAAGAAATCTTTGCCCATTTCAGTGTCCTAGAACTTCCCTAAGGTTTTCTCATAGTAGTTTTATAGTTTGAGGTCTTATATGTAAAACTTTAATTCATTCTTATTTGACTTTTGCATATGGTGAGAGATAGGGGTTAGTTTCATTCTTCTGCCTTATGGATATCTAGTCGTCCAACATTTATTAATTAGCAACATTTATTGAAGACAATAAATATTCCTCAATGTATGTTCTTGGCATCTTTGTTGAAAATGAGCTCACAGTAAATACGTGGATTAGTTTCTGGGTCTTATTTCCCTACCTAGAACTTTCAGGACTCTGTTGAGTAATAGTTGTTAAGGTGGACATCCTTATTTTGTTCTAGATATTAGAGGAAAGACTTTCAATTCTTCCCTTTTGAATATGATACTAGCTGTGGGACTGCCATATATGGCTCTTATTATGTTGACATATGTTCCTTCTATATATATTTGTTGAGGTTCTTTTTATAAAGGGATATTGAATTTTATCAAATAATTTTTTAGCATTTCATTTCATTGAAGTAATCATATTGTTTTGGTTCTTCAGTTTGTTGAGATGGTATATCAGATTGATTTGCATGTGTTAAACCATCCATGCATCTTTGGCATTAATCTCACTTGGTAACAATGAATGATATTTTTTAAATGTGTTGTTGAATTTGGTTTGGTATTATTTTGTTGAGGATTTCTGTATCAATGTTCATCATGAATGTTGGTGTATAGTTTTCACTTTTTGATGTGTTGTGTGGTTTTGTATCAGAATAACACTGGACTTGTAGAATAAGTTTGGAAGTATTCTCTCTTCCTGTTCTTTTTTTTTTTTAATAGTTTATGTATGATTGGTATTAGTTCTTCTTTAAATGTTTTGTAGATTTCAGCATTTAAGCCCTTAGGTCCTGGGTTTTTGCAGGTGGAGACTTCTCTTATTGCTTCAATCTCATTACTTGTTATTGTTCTGTATAGGTTTTGGATTTCTTTATGGTACAATGTTGGTAGATTGTGTATGTCTAGGAATTTGTCTATGTTTTAGGTTTTCTGATTTACTGGCAAATAGTTTATTAGTTTTCTCTTTGTTTGTTATATCATTTGTTTCTGTAATCAGTGTTAAGTTGGCATCAATTTAAAATAATGGGTTATATTATTTGCAAGCCTCATGGTAACATCAGTTTAAAAAATATGCAAAATTATTTCAATCTCTTTGTTAAATTTGTCTGATAGGATTTAGAATTAATTCTCTTGTTATTTTGCATTTCATCATGGTTTCTCAAAACAGCTATTTTGAACTCTTTTTGAAAGATCACATATCTCTCTCCAGGACTGGTCCCTGGTGACTTATTTAGTTAATTTAGTGAGGTCATGTTCCCCTTGATGGTCTTGATGCTTGTACATATTCATCACTCTTTCAGCATTGAAGAGTTAGGTAATTATTGTAGCCTTACAGCCTGGGCTTGTTTGGACCCACACTTTTTGGCAAGGCTTTCCAGGCATTTGAAGGGACTTTGGTGTTGGAATCTATCAATTTTTATTTTAGTTTCCTGATGTACACGTGCAGGATTGTTAAATGGGTATATCCTGTGATGCTTGGTTTCAGTTATGGATCCTATTGTCACCCAGGTGGTAAGCATGATACCCAATAGGTAGTTTATCAGCCAATGCTTACCTTTCCCCCTCCCCATCTAGTAGCCCCCAGTGTCTATTTTTCCTTCTTCACGTCCATATGTGCTCAATATATCACTCCCACTTATAAGTGTGAACATGCGCTATTTGGTTTTCTGTTCCTGTGTTAATTTTGCTTAGGATAATGCCCTTCAGCTGCATTAATGATGCTGCAAAGTACATAAATTTATTCTTTCTCATGGCTGCATAGTGTTCCATGGTGTAATATACGTACAGCATTTTCTTTATCCAATTCACCATCGATGGGCACCTAGGTTGATTCATGTCTTTATTATTGTGAGTAGTATAGACATGAACATATGAAAGTGTATGTCTTTTCTGTGGAACAATTTATTTCCTCTGGGGTATGTAACCAATAATGGTATTGCTACATCAAATGATAATTGTCTTTTATGTTTTTTGGGCTGTCTCTGCATTGATTTCCACAGTGGCTGAACTAATTTACATTCCCATCAACAGTTTAAAAGCATCCACTTTTTTTCACAGCCTCACCAGTAGCTGTTACTTTTTGTATAGAGAAAAGTTTTTTTTTTTAATCCCAGCATATTACATAATGTTTCAGAATACTTCTTTCATAAATCTAGATGTTTGGAGACAATATGTTTTATCTCCTCTACTCAGTCTTGTGACTGTAAAGTCAAGTCTTGTTATTAGTTGGGTAAAGACTTGGTAATTTAAACAGTGATTTTAAAAATATCAAGTTTATAAAAATTCAGAAATAATCTCCAGGTTCCCACCCCAGAATAAATCTGCAAAATACTACAGAATAGTGTTGAGAACTTTTGTTGCCAGGATACAATGGCATGGCTTTGATTTAAAGCTCTCAGCTCTGGCAAAATTAAATTTAAGTTCATTAAACTAAGAACAGTATGTTGAATACAGATCAGTTCATTACTGAGCATCAACTCAATCATTGATGAGAGCTCTTTGAAAGGCCCATCATTATAACATAAAATGTCATTTTATTACCAGACAGTAACTGCCTGATTAAAATCTTAAATGGATGGGAATCATTGAGAAGCCATATTGAAAGTATCTTCCAGCTGATTATTAAAGTCAAGTCTGCACTAAAGGGAAATATTAGTGAAAATAACTAATTTTCTCACCTTAATATCTTTCATGTGTGTCCCCTCCTTTCCATTTCTACTGGTGTACACCTAATTCAAAAACTCATTTTCACTCTTTGATATTGCAATAGGTTTCTTGTAATTTGGCCTTATTGCTTTCATATCCCAACTACCTTAAAGTAAATGCTAAGTAAATTGTTACAGAAACATTTTCAAAGTCTATTTTTAAAACTATGTCAATGATTTGCTTAAAACCTTTGATAGATGTATAAATACAAATAAATAAAATTCACCAAATTAGAACATTCAAAGCTACCTTTAATCTGAATACTATTTTTCTATTTTTAATTCTGTATACTTTTGCTAGGAAATAATTATGTATACCTATAATGGACTACTTACTTTTCATGTTACTGCCTTTTCTATTCATTACTCATGTATTTTCCCCTGCTTAAAATATTCTTCTTTTCATTACTAAATGTTGACATCTTAGCCATCTCTTGGACATGTGTTTGCCTATTAAAACATGCCCTTTTTTCCACTCTATAATTTGTCACTTTCTCTATTTTTCCAAGAGTTTTTTTCATCTTTGCTGTCACAATTGTTTCACTATAGCTTCCTGATAGTCTAGAAATAAGTCTATATGTTATAGAATGCCATGTTGTTGTTTCATTTACTAAATTTTAAATGCAAGACAATGTCCATGTGCTGTACATTTCATATCTCCCCAAACTCCTTGAAGCATCCCTATCACTAGTGAGACTGTAATGTCAGTGTATTGAGTAAGGTAGAGGATTGCTATTTTAATTTGAGTCACCTTAGTGCCATTAAGATCCTTTATAATTAACCGCCATTGTGATGGTTACAAAGCTATAAATATGGTTATAAACCCGTGAGCACGGTAATAATCCAAGGGGTCTGGATAGAAGTAGTTGCTACGTGTGCCCCGACTAACTGAATCAGCCACCCTTCTCTCTTAGTCTTGGCAATTTCATTTTCCCCATAGTTAATTTGAATTCACATTTCAGTTTTATTTTACACTGCTTACAGGATTTATGGTAACATTAATCTGTTAAAAAAATTTTATCTTTCAAATGGAAAACAAATATTCTAGTTGTAAGGATTCAACAAGATATTACATGTAATGTGTTTACAACATTGAAGCCAGTTAAAAGCTAGTTATCTTCTTTCATTTTCCTTCCCCTTTTCACTTTTACACAGAGAAGAGTCATATTTCATGGCAAAGCTAAAGTTGCCAAAACTCGCCTTGGATTTTGAAGTTCATTGTTTTGTAGCTCACCGACATTACTGTATGTCACAGTGTGCTCACAGCTTCACGACAGAACCAGCAATGTGTCTCATGAAACAAATAAGATATTAGATTATTTCCAGTGAATGCCTTTCTAAATTTACTCAAGACTGGGTTCTGTCTTTGTTGCTATCAATCATGGAATAATTTTATGCACTGCCCAAAGTAAAATCTTGTTAATTTTCTTTTATATTGCCACATGATTTGAGAGAAATAAAACAACAAAATGATTACGGAGTAGTTAAAATCAGAATTAAATCCTTCTTCTAACTCTCTGTACTGTAGCATCACCATGAGGCTGCCAAAATTTCATAGTTCTAAGAACAAGCTATTATCACTACGGTGATTGGAAAACAGTTCTTAGCAGAAAGCAAATGGATAGAATGCAGAATATATCTAAACAGTTTAAAAATAGGTCTTTAAAAATTTCTTTTTTGAGGGAGTTAAATATAGGCTGTAATTTAGTAGGTAAGGGAGTTGATATCCAAGGGGAGGTAGAAAATGATTCAACTATGAAGAACAGGAAATTGCCAAGACTAAGAGGGAAGGATGGCTGGCTCAGCCAGTGGGGACATACAGAGCAACTACTATCCAGAGGCCCTGATGACTCAAGGTTACGTGAAGTGACAACTCTTTGGAGATTTGGAGATTGAGTTCCCTGCCACTGGACAATTAAGAAAATTTCTCCCTTCCCATCTACTTAGCCACTATCTTAAAACTGAGTAATCCCCTGATAGCTCACTTCCAATAGCAAGATTCAGTCATGAGGTCTTGTGTTGAGATTTCTAAAGCAAAAGCATATTACCTTTTCTGTAGTTGACCAGAGGCAACCTCCTATTCGAAGCTTACAGTGGCTGCTAAAGGGTGTGCATTTGTAATAACTGCATGCATTGTTGAACAAGCATTTGTTAAATATTTTTAATATCATCCACATGATATGTACGAGAAATATTAGCCTGTATAAGTTATTTCAAGTTTAATGTAATACTTAGCAAAGCTTGATTAATGTATGAACTTCTATGATATACATTTGATGGTATCTACTTAGAACTTCCATGACCTGTAATGAAATTTGGGGCAAATTTATAGTGCTTCCTTAAAAATTAATAATTAAGGATTGACAATTAGGGAGCATTAATTCTTGTATCTGAGAATAATGAGATTATTTGTTTTAATTATAAGACATAAATACCTAACAGATGTAAAATATTTAATTATTGATGTGATATTTCTTTTTTGAATTTTGTATCACTTTATCTTTGCCTTGTTTATATTATTCATCTCTTAGGGGTTTGGGAAGATACTACATCATGACATGAATAATATAAGAAAAAACGTAGAAGGAAGAACTATGGAGTTTCAAGTATTTCTCATTCTATCCTATGTAGATTTATAAGGGCCAGGCCTATGGTTTTATTTAATGTTTTATTTAAAGCAGTTTAAGAGAAGAAAAAGGAGAAAGAGAAATCAGTGTCCGTGGCATCAGCTGGAAAACACATAATTTTTCATTTCTAAGGAAAAAATAGGAGAGCAAAGACAAGTCTTGTCCTTTTGATAAGTTAAAGTAATATCTAGAACAGAGATATTCTATTGTTTCTTCACCATATTTAGGAGTCTAGAATGTGTTCCTTTCCATACTAACCAAAAGAGGATGGGGTATGCACAGCTGGGTCTGGCAGAAGTTGGCATTTCCAAAAGTTTATCTTGGTCTTAGAGGAACAGAGAGGGAAACAGAAATTTGCTGAGAATATGGCTGGACTATCTTGGAAAGGTGATGAAAGGCAGTGCCACCAGGGAGGTACCAGGTAGTGACTTCACCCCTTGAAGAATATAGAAGGTACAGTCAGAACCCAGGGGAGTCTATGAGACCAATAGTCAACCATGGATAACCACCAGTTTCTGATCAAAGTTTAATATACCCAATTACATGGTATATGCTGTCCAAAGTTTAGTATATCCAATTACATAGTATATGCTGTAGACTCAGAGATGAAAGCAAAGTGGGTCAGTAACATCATCCTAAAAGTATGAGGAGAACACAGTGCCTAAGACTTAAAAGCCATACTTCTGAATGTGTGAGGCTGACATCATGTTTAGAGAGAGTGTTGGGATGCAGAAGGTTGTTTTTCAGACAAGAATGAACACTACTCCAAAAGGCTGCTTGCACTACAGGTTTGTTCTCAGCTTTAATCATGATAGAAAAGTTACTGATGTTTTATCACAATAAATTATATCTTTTTCATGCCTGGTATTTATTCTAAGTTAAATATGTGATTCCAGTCAATATGAGTAAAACATGTGGATATTTTAATAAAACTAAGTTCCATTAGGACTTAGGGCATATGACACTCTAGAGACTGTTTTTGCTTTAATTATTTAATATTAACACATTTATTTTTAGTGTTCTTATGATATGAAAGTATTTTTAATACCCCTGTGCAGTATTCTTGCAACAAATCTACATAACTGCATATTAACTGAATAAAAGTAATAGGTACTTCAACAGAAAAAATAAAAGTAGATAAAATGAGTAAGCAATCCACCAATGGACAATAAAAATTGATGAAAGATATGTTAAAATTTATATAATTTATTAGGTATAAAAGAAATTCCATTTAAAACTAATTAGTAAACTATAATATGCAATGTTATAAGCATAAAAATAATATTCATTCTCCTATCAAAAATGTGGTGTGAACTCATACAGCATTTCTGGAGAACAATTTTAGAATATGTCTCAAAAGCATTTTAAAAGTTCTTATACTTTTATTTAGAAAGTGCGCTTTTAAAAATGTATTCTTAGTAATAGAGATTTAGTAAATAACGGTCATTTTAATGTTACTTTTACATAGCAACATAATTATCTGATATTAGGAGACAGGTACATTAATAGTTCATAATTCTATGCAAAATTCTTCAGCAATTCAAATCCTGCTTAAGAAAAATGCAGAATGTTTGGAAAGTGATATATTACAGTAGGTTATAAAAATTATGTGCTCCATGTTATTTTTTTTTTTGTGGACTTTAATGAGATAAAAATTGTAAGTTGTAAAACAAAATGTGTAAGGGGTAAAAGGCCTAAATTGTAAGATACCTGTGTTGGATGGGAAGTGGTATAAGTACTAATTCAAGGTAGGATATAACATGCCAAGAATACATATCATAATACTTTCAGCAAGGGAGAAATATAATTTAAGGTATAATTAGTAAATTAATAAGGAAGAAATAATAGTCATGCAATTAAAATTGGTTGCAAATATAAGGCAAATTGCTTGTCTCCCAATAATTGAATTATATAACATGACATTCTGGTAATCCCATTGTGTGGCACCATGTTTTCCAAGCTTTTCTCCGATTATGCTATCTCTTTCCTTGTGTGTATCTGGACATATT